CCAGGCCCGGTCCTGAAAATGGAAACATAACAAAAATAAATAAAAATAAAAATAAAAAGAAAGAGCGGAAACCGCTGGTACCCTCTTGATCCCTACCGTGGGATTGGGGATCGGAACCAGAGCAAAACCAAGGGGGATAACTCCACTGCCGCTTGCTGGCCTCGATCCCTGCATCTGCCTGGAACTCCAATGCATTAACTGGTGCAGAATTCAATATGAAGGGCATCTAAGCTGGGCCAGGGCCTACCTGATTGCACCGAGGCCACACCTTGGCTTACCGGTTATTCCTACGGCCACTGAACCCGCACATCCGTTATGCAAGGCCCGGGCTTTACTTACAGCTACCAAGCACACTGCCTACCACCGGAGGGTCGCACCGCTGTTAATTCTAGCCCCTGCAAGCAGTCGCTTTTATAGGCCGCACCTTCGCTACTTCGGTTGAGGCCGGCCGTACTACTTTGGGCAGGTGAAACCCCCGACTTCCGGCTGCGCCAAGCTCCATTCCTGGAGGCCTTACCGAGGTCACAGAGGGCCTCTTTAGGAAAGCAAAATAGTACAAAACTAAAAAGCCTTGTGAGCCCAACGCTATGCGGACTCTAGTGTCGTCTCAAGCTAGTTAACGAAACTCACACCAGGCGACAACACCAACACTTAACCTAACCCTCGCAATGGCCACGACGGGCATGCTAAGTATGCGGCGATACTAAAAATCAATAAATTGATCTCTCTCTAACTCATATTGCTCCGCGAGATCACTGGCCACACTGCCAGTTTGCGGAATCGCCATCCGTCTAGGTGACTAACGTTGTAGGGGCCCACCCTGTTAGACTTTCGAGCTTGAGTCGACCCCTCGACGGGTCCCAGTTGGCTCAGCTCCGCCCACACGCAGGCCCAGGGCGCGGAGCGTTTGTCACAGAGTCACCCCCACCTAGTGCTTTGAGATGGATGGGGATGGGCCAACAAGCAAGAGAGCTTTGGTACTGGGGGATGTAGCTCAGCCTTCTCGCTCGGTAGGCAGTTGTTGTTGATCTCTGTCAAGCGTTTATTCTTGATGCATTCTTGTGTTTGTAGGCAATTGCTACTTTCAATACTCTTGCTGTCCAGGGAGTTTTTTGAAAGCTCGTCTTCTCTTATGCGCAGGCCAAGGGTCCTTCATTGGGCCACACATCCATTTTCTATGTGCAGAGTCTAACGGTACCGATGGCCACATAACTCGCCCTTCGGCATAGGCCTGCTGACTAAGTCATGCAGCCCTAGTCGCCTCACTAGGGCTCCCGTTGTTCGGACTTCTAGCCGATCTACGCGCTGGCTTCCTACAACTCCTGCATCAAACACATTTCATGCATCTTGCTTTGTTGCTTGTCTATACACCCCTTAGTCTTTTTGGGGGCCCGCCTACATACTCATGTGATTCAGCGGTCCTTCAGACCATCCAAGACTTTCTTGTCAACATCCAGGCACTTAGACCCCATTTTCTTGCAAGGAAGGAGCGTCATACAAATAGGGTTCATCCATGGGCAAGGGTTACGTTCACAACCCATGCTGCTCCTTTCCCTTTCTTCACCCGGTCTCACGGGGCGCGATCCTGCTCAAGGCACATTAGCTTGTTACTCACCTGCACACTCAACGCAATATGGGAACAGATACCACCCCCATTTGGAGTCAACACATAATCCCTCCCGCATGCTTATTCTCTTTCTCTTTCTGGTTCCTTCCATTTTCAATCTTCTCCATTGCTTAGACCAGGCTCTTCTCATTCTCATGCAGTCGGGGTGTTGGTCGAGTCCACTGACCTTTCTTTCGCTCAGCAAATCTTTTTAGTCCTTAGGACTTGTCAATCCTTAAGTCCTTTGCACTCACAAGTCTTTCCAATCCTCGAACACTTTTCTTTTCTTCTTGGTGGCACAAGGGACCGGCAACCCGCACCTTGCCCTCTTTTTCCACCAAGGGAGATCCAAGTTCTTTCACTGTTCGTCCCCTGGCAATGTGACAGGAGAGTGGGGGAAGGGTTAGTCGCACGCCAAAATGAAAGGGGGAAGAGGGTTTTAGATTAGGCTTAGAGTACGGGGTTAGAGGGGAATAGTTGGTGTGTGTGTGTGTGTGTGTGTGTGTGTGTGAGAGAGAGAGAGAGAGAGAGAGAGAGAGAGAGAGAGAGAGAGAGAGAGAGAGAGAGAGAGAGAGAGAGAGAGAGAGAGCTCCTATGTCTAATCAAAGCTCAACTCTTACTTACTCTACTGTCCCACCTAAGGGTCCCCTCTATGTCTTGCAGTCCCACATTTTTTTGGGCACGGCGATGGTTGGATGGTGGTGGAGAAGGAAGGCAGTGTGAGGAGGTTGGCTATGGTGGACGGATAATGGAGGTGGAAAAAGGAGAAGGTGTGAGGTGGTTGGCTATGGTGGATGAGTGGTGGAGGAGGAAGAAGAAGAAGGTGTGCGGTGATTGGCTATGGTGGATGAGTGAAGGAGGTGGGGGAAGAAGAAGGTGTGAGGTGGTTGACCATGGTGGACGAGTGGTGTAGGAGGAAGAATAAGAAGGTGTGAGGTGGTTGGTTATGGTGGGTGAGTGATGGAGACTAAAAAAGAAGGTGTGAGGTGGTTGGCTATGGTGATGAGATCTGTTCATTGTCAGAGCGTGTCAGAGGAGACTGCCTGCTGATGTGGTTAGCAGGGGATGCCCGAAGGAGGAGTGGGCTAGTAAGGGAGATTTATGTGCTGAGCTGATGTGTACTCTTCTCCCTCCCATCTGTCTCTTCTCTGGTCACGAGACATTGGGCTACTTGATTACATGTACGATCTCAGAGACATTGAAACTGCCCTGAGACATTCTGTGTTCTGACATTGATGAGCTTTCCATCTGACTGGGCTCATGACACTAGCTTCCCCTCCTGCGAAATCGCAGAAACAATCAAACATATCTTTGTCCAGGGGTGACTGTCACATTGCGCAGGTGGGACCGGATCTGGTGCCAGCTGAACACTGAGTCCACCTGGCCCTGCAAGGTAAGACATGGAAGAGAAGATGTTCGGAGTGGGGAGGAGAGCAATGTTCTGGGTGCTATGGCAAAAATGATGCATACACATGATGGAAGATGTGCGCATAACAGGGGAAGAAATGACGAACATCATTAGGCAGCTAATTCAACAGGACATTACAGACCAATGGATGAAGACCTTTATCACGAGAAGAAGATATAGCACAGGCAGGACAAAAGTTCTCGGAGGAATGGCTGGGAGCAGACAAAGGGGATGGATAGATGAAGTTCGGTGGGAGGGAAGCAGAACCCAAGAGTACAGTCGAGTGTGGCTGTAGTCGATGGCGCTGGGCACCATAGCTAATAGGGTTGCATATGTGTGTGTGTGTGTGAGGAAGATACAGAGAGCAAAGCCTGAGGGTGGAGAGAGGGCGATAAAGCTCATACTCGGTTGTCATTGGCCATCGACCGTTACTGCTCGGCTGTGCACATACGAGTTCTCTGTATAAGACTTGGATTCCTGAACGATTTTCAAGTTCTCATCTCCCGTCTTTGGACTTCAATCTCGTTGTGCTAGAGTGTGCTCTCAATCTGTTGTGAGTTGTTGCACAATGTCTTTTGTTGCACAATCTCGTTGTCCTGGATTACCTCTGGGCACTTCCCTCTCGTCTCCACACCTCTGTAATCGCCGACATCTCTCTTCCCAACATGTGGCCAAGATGCGAAGGCACTCTCCACTCCAGTATCACTCTGGCGCAATAAAGCAACCCTCTCTCTCTCTCTCTCTCTCTCTCTCTCTCTCTCTCTCTCTCTCTCTCTCTCTC